ATCCCATCCCCCACCCCCAGTGACCTCACACTGCTGCAGGTACCGCCCCATCCCATCCCCCCCCCCCCGTCACCCCCAGGTCCCACCCCATCCCATTGCCCCGCCCCCAGTGACCTCACCCTGCTGCAGGTACCGCCCCATCCCATCCCCCACCCCCAGTGACCTCACACTGCTGCAGGTACCACCCCATCCCATCCCCCGCCCCCAGTGACCTCACACTGCTGCAGGTACCACCCCCATCCCATCCCCCACCCCTAGTGACCTCACACTGCTGTAGGTACCGCCCCATCCTATCACATGTCCCACGGCGACCCCATAATTATCATTTTAAGAGGATTTCATGCCCCTGTGTGGGGTAGGTTTTGGGTTACAGTAGGGTTGCCTGAATGGGTCGATGTGTCGGTAGGATTGAACCATGTGGTTGATGCCTTCCAGCTTTCCCGGAACGTGACGCAGGATGAAAACGTGGCTCCCATCGGCCTGCCCGATGCCGCTGAGGACGTTGAGCCAGGGACCCGGTGCAGCGTAGCCGGCTGGGGCAGCCTCAGCACCGACGGGAAGCTGCTCCCCATAGCGCTACGGGAGGTGAACGTGGTGGTGATTCCCGATGACGCCTGCCCGACCGACCCCTATGGGCCCTACCACTACTATAATCATCGCACCATGATGTGCGTGGGCAACCCTGCAGAGTTTTACGACTCTGCCAAGGTACCTCCCCTCTTCTACCATGGCTGACGAAGTGTTAGGGGAGGCATGGACCAGCTGGCAGCGGCCGTGGGGGGAGATCTGAGCCCAGCTGTGCCATGGGAGGGGCCAAGCAGAGGCCAGGAGATGCTATGGGGGGCCTCTAGATCCGGCATCCGCAGGAAACAACCCGGGAGCTTTTGTCCATCTGTGGCTGGTTCTGTTCCGCAGGGCGACTCCGGGGGCCCCCTGGTGTGCGGGGGAACAGCCCAGGGCATCGTCTCCTGGGGGAACGAGAAAGCTCCCGGCGTCTACACGAAAATCTCCGCCTTCCTCCCCTGGATAAACAGCACGATGAAGAAGCTGCAGGATGGAGCCGGGCCGTGAATCCCTGGCCACGCCGGAGCTGCGCCGCGTCTTTCTTTGGAGGGACCATGATGTAGGGCGGCTTTCTGGGTGGGCTCTGCCCTCCCGACAGCTTATCCAGTTATCACTCCCCTCAAACCGCCCCTAACCCATGAGCATCCACGAAGGAGCCTGGGGGAGTTAGGAGCAGGTTGGAAGCCCAGCCCCCCCTTGGGAAATCCCAACTCTTTGGCTGCCTCTTTGCTGAGAAACAGGCAGTGCATGTCCCCAATGACCCAGCGGTTTGGGGCTCTCCTTCGTTTCTGCTGGGTGAGTGATTTTTTACGGCAGATCCTCACCGTCTCCTGCCCTGCTGGGTTTGTTAAACCTGCCCCCTTCCCTGGGCTCACTGGGCTGTTCCCAGAGTTGGTTCCCGGGATGCAGCTCTTGCGGCCAGGCCAGCTGGCAGGGACCCGAGCGACAACCATGCTGAGCGATTGCAGATCGACCCCCAGGACTGGTTCCTACTCCCCACCTTCCCTGCCCTGCCCCCAGCCTGTTGCATTTCCCTCCCTGCTTTGTAGCCAGCGCTGAATAAAAAAATAAATTTTACCTCCCCCTAAATAAAAAAGTGACTCTGGAAGGGAGCGACCCCTTCAACCACAGAATCCAGAGCAGCCGTTGGGGTGGGGAAGTGGGGCAGGATTTCACCCCTATGGGAGGAGACCGGGACTGTAGTTCATTGTGATCTAACACCAGCCAAAAGCGATGGCAGGAGTCCCGCTGTCCCATGATGCCGAGCTCCTAGGCCGGGTGGGCGTGTCCATGCAAACAAGGTCTCCTACTGTTCCCCAACTCACCACTAGGTGCCAGGGTGGTCCAGACAGACCCTGCTCACGATGATGCTTGTGCCATGGGGCACACGGTCCAAGCCTGACTACCGTCGAGATCCATCGTGTGCCGGCTCGACCCCCCCACCCCCAGGCCTATCGACCTGCCCGAGAACCAACTCGCGTCGGGTTGGCAGGGTTTGTGCCTGAGTCCAACACTCCGTGAATGCTCCTGCATCTCATCCGGGGCCCGTGTGCCGGGTAAACGCTCCCTGTGGGAGAACGCTAAACCCACATGGCGCCTTGTGGCCTGGAGCCCAGAGAGCGATGCAGGAGCCAGCCTTTCGCAGGGTCCGAGCCCCCAACAGGCTCTTGTCCGACCCGGCCCTCTTGGGAGCAAAGAGACCAGGCTTGGCTGCTGGTTACGAGTTCGTTAGTTTTCAGCTAATGCTGGGATGGGGCCAGGTGAGGCTGGTAGCCGGGACTGGGATGCGCACGGCCAGCAGCTGGGGTAGAGGCATGCAAGGCCGGCAGCCAGGATGGGGGTGCATGGGGCTAGCAGCCAGATCCCAGGTGCTGGGCCAAGAGCCCAGGGAACCTCAGCAGCCCCCCCCAAACACCTCTCTAGGTCCCTTCCCATGCTCCTTAAGCACATGGACCCAGACCCCATGCCTGGACTCCTGCCCCTTGCACATGCTGACTCCCATCCATCCCCTGCCCTGAGATCCCCTGCAACCTAGCCCACACTTACATTCCTTACAGGTACTGTCATAAGCCAACCTCCCATCCCCTGACCTGCCCCCCCCACCCCCCACTCAAAGCAGCGTGGGTGCTGTTTGCCATAGTACCTGCAAGAAATATGAGAGTACCAGTAAGAAATGTGAGTTACTTTCACCCTCCCCTTCTGCAGACATGGCCAGGGGACAGGAAATGACAGCATGGACCTCCCCGCCCCCCAAGAGCCCAGGGGACACCCACACAGGCTGTAGGCAGGAACGTGGCTTTTGTCTGAGACCCACAGAAACATGTGGGTCAGCAAGGGAGCTCTGGGCCGGCTTCTTTCTCAAAGTTAAGATGGTGGGGATAAGGCCACTCGGTGAGCAATGGCCCAAGACCCAGAGCACTGCACAGCCGGGCCTATGGACGGGCGGGACAGCTGGGCCTATGGAGTGCACAGCTGGGAGTATGGAATGCACAGCTGCATCGAGACCTACCCAGAGCTAACGTCAGACAGCCATGCAGCCCGTGGAAGATCCCTCCACCCCTTCACTGGTCTGGTGATGAATGTGTCTGGTGCTCTGCAGTAGAGGGGAGATGCCACCCCCCTTTGCTCACAGGAGGGGGAGGGGACGCAGCCCCGGAGGGAGATGCAGAAGGGGATTTAGAGCGACTTAGTGCAGGGGTGGACCTGTGGGTTCCAGGCCTCATGTGAGAGGCTGGAGGGTTCCCTGCCTCTCTGATCCAGCCAGCCCCCCACATCTGGGTCCTGGTAGGAGTCAGCTGAGGGGTTTAAGGTCAGTTTGGATTCCATCTTCACTAACAAAGTAATGGGTGATCGAATATGCCACACAATTAATAAGAAGGGGGAAGGGACACCAGCCAGTGCAGGGGATGATCAGACTTCAGGCTTTGTAGGTAACTTAGAAGTATTCAAGGCAGCAGAGCCCGGTGAACTGCACCCTTGGGTTCCTCACGGGCTGGCTGAAGCAACCGTGATGCAGGTCTTGTTGAAGAAGCGACCTCGAGGGCCTCCTGAGGCCTCTTCTGACCCGACGATTCCAGGATTCTCATCGAACGACGCTTTTTCTGGAGCATTTTATCTGCTTTTGGGAGCAACTCTTGAGGGTGGACGTAAAGAAATTACAGATTCCAGGGGAGAGTAACACAAATGACCAAAGGTTTTGGAAACCTGATGTCGGAGAAAAAGATGCACCCTGTGAGGAAAGGGGGTTCCCATACTCTGTGGGTGCTGTCTACGCAGTCATGGGGCACCCTAAGGGAGTGGGAGCGGTGAGGAGAAGGCCAGAGGATTTATGCATTTAGGGGTCACTTCTTCAGGCTCTTCCTCCGCCTCCCCCTCACTGCCGCTTTGACACAAACCGTGCAAAATTTACAAGAGAATCCGAGTCACCGACAATGCCACGACTCCACCCTGTTGGGGGAGGAGACATTGGTTCTTTAGTGAGCCAGAGGACCATGGCAGCTCTCATGCCTTCTACACAGAGACTTCCCTGGCGCCCATCACCTTGGTATCGGTCCTCCCCCAGGTCCACCGCCTGGGACGTGTCATGCTCCCCAGCCTCTGGGAGTGTTTCTGCTGCAGGATCTGTGGCCAGGCTCCAGGAACCCACGGCTAGTTCCCCATCCCCTGCTCACAGCTCGGAGACACGCTCTGGCCAGGAAGCGGGGAGCTGAGCCAAGCCAGCCAGTGACTCAGCATCGCCCGCGTTCTCCACCAGAGGGGCTGCTGGAGCAGAGGAGATGGGGGAGCTGCATCTGGGCCTGGTGGCTGGTGTGCTAGGCACCAGGCGGGCCCCAGGGGGCCCTGCTCCCAGATGGTGGGGTGGGGGATACCCTGTCCCAGAGGGACTTTCCCTGGGCTACTTCCTCCAGAGGGAGGGTGCTTTCCAGCTGCCGTCCCTCGTCCCACCCCACACTTATCAGCACTTCCATATTGAGGTTTCTGAGAGCCCCATCAGGAGAAAGCATACGTGACTTTGGGGTTTCCGCCGGCTCTATAAAGCCCCCAGGGCTGAGTCACAAACCCCGTCACTTTTCCCAGACAGAGACGATGCTGATCCTGATCCTGCTGCCTGTCGTCTTCCTCCTGCCCCCCGGGGCTGGCGCTGGTGAGTGTGGGGCAGATCTGGGATAGCGGGGGAAGAGTGGGGAGCTCTCTGGGCTGCTTGCAAATCCTGGCTCCTCCCCAGAGTCAGATGCATCTTTCAGGGCAATGGCTGGTTCCTAGGACCCAGCTAAAGGAGGGTTTGGACGAAGCCTGGGTGGTGGAGCTGAGACTGACATAAAGCCCTTCAGAGACTCAGAAAGAAATTGAGAGCAGGAGAGAGACACGGGGGGATCACAAGCACCAGCTGGGAGTTTAGACTTTCCCCAGCTTGCTGTGATTAGCACAGGACGGGGAGTTGGGAGCCAGGACTCCTGGGAATCTAGTTTCTTGACCCTTTCCCTGGGCTGTCAGGAAATTAAAGCTTTTTGGGGCACAGTCTGGGCAGCTCCCAACCCCACAGGGCCCTGGTCTCGGTCAGAGTCTCTGCCGCACCCGGCACAACGTGCGCCCTGCTCTGGGTGGGAGGCGCCGTACACAAACACCAGACACAGGCTCTCGGCACAGCCTCATGGATATGAGCATCCAACTATCATCCAGGAGCCCTCTCTGGGGAAGTTCAGCTCAGAGCGACACACAGACTTGATTGGCTTTAACTCACCTGATGTTCCGATCCATCTGGGGTGTGGCTGGGCAGCACTTCGCGATACTGATTAAAACCAGTCCGGTAGCCTCTGAAATGTTCTCCCGGCCGGCTAACCACACGGAGCCAGTGCTGGGTCGACCCACAGGAGAACCTCCCAATGGGGGATTGCCAGGGGTCTAACCAAACCACGTAGTCTGACAGGCCCTACAGGGAAACACCTTCTCATGTCCCCCTCCTCCCCTCCCTGCCTTGTCTACCCCACTTCCCCTTGTGCCGACATTGTCCTTCTACTTCCATAGCTTGTCTGCCCCCCATCCCCTCCACCCTCATGTCTTTAAACCAATCTCCTCGCTTTGATTTCCCCCACCTGCGTGGACACCGGTGCAGAGTTGGTCTGAAAAGGATTTTGCTGGGAATTGTCATCGAAAATCCCCAATGCGAATTGTTTTTCTTTCGTGACATTTTCTTAAGGTTGAGGACATGTGGGAAGAGAGAGAGAAAACAAGCCACAAAATGCACCCAAGTGTCTCATAGTGCACAGACATCTCTTAAAAATTAAATATTTCCGAACTCGTCTTGTCCAGAGTTGGTCTGAAAAGCGTCTAAAAGCGTCTTGTTCTCCTGGGCTTCTGAGGACAGGACAAGAAGCAAGGGGCTTAAACTGCAGCAAGGGAAGTTTAGGTTGGACATTAGGAAAAAGTTCCTACCTGTCCGGGTGGTTAAACACTGGAATAAATTGCCCAGGGAGGTTGTGAAATCTCTATCCCTGGAGATATTGAAGAGCAGGTTGGAAGGACATCAGTCAGGGATGGTCTAGATGGTGCTTGCTCCTGCCGTAAAGGCAAGAGACTGGACTCGATGACCCCTTGAAATCCCTTCCAGTTAAGATGTTCTGTGATTCTATGAATTTTTTTATGGGAATTTTGAAGTTTTCATTGAAAAACCCCCAAAGGTGAATTTTTTTCTAGTAACATTTGGTTAGGAAGAGAGAGAGAAAAGCAAAATGCACCGAAATGTCTCATAATTGCTTAAGATGTGAAATATATCCTACCTCGTCTTAGCCTGGCTGGAAACATTGCGGCTGTGTCTACACAAACCACTTATTCCAGAAAATAAGCCGCTTTTCCGGAATAACTTGCCAGCTGTCTACACTGACCCCTTGAATTTCGGGAAAAGCACTGACGATCTACTGTAAAATCATCAGTGCTTTTCCGGAAAAACTATGCTGCTCCCGTTCGGGCAAAAGTCCTTTTCCGGAAAACTGTTCCGGAAAAGGGCCAGTGTAGATAGAGATTTCTTTTCCGCAAAAAAGCCCCGATCGCAAAAATGACAATCGGGGCTTTTTTTGCAGAAAAGCGCGTCTAGATTGGCATGGACGCTTTTCCCCAAAAAGTGCTTTTCCAGAAAAGCATCCTGCCAATCTAGACGCGCTTTTTCCGAAAATACTTTTAACGGAAAACTTTTCCGTTATAAGCATTTCCGGAAAATCATGCCAGTGTAGACGTAGCCTGGGGGTTCTGCAATATGCGTGGTTAGAATCCTTCTTTGAAAACCCTCAACGTGAATTATTTTTCTTTAGTAAATTTTATTAATTTTAGGACATCTGGGAAGAGGGAGAAAAGAAGCCACAAAATGCACCTAAACATCTCAAAATGCACAGACATCTCTGAAGATATTAAATATTAGCCAGGCCAGAAACACTGGGTTTTATACACTAGGAGGGGTTAGAATACCAGTCCTGCATTGCATTGCACAATTTGCAAACCCGATTCCCTTTAGAGTAGACCAGCGAGTTCCAGAAGTGTTATTAAAGTCAGAGAAAGGCTAGAAACAAAAATCAGACAAGAGAGACAGATGCAGGGAAGAGAGGAACATGAGGAGAGAAGTCGACGGGATCCTGGAGGGGGTCTATGCATTCGAGAGGAGTATTCAGAGATTTCCAGGACAGCCTCTGAGCCCGACAGCTTTCCTTGGGACCTGTCGACGGCTCTTTCCGTGAGAGCAACGATTAGGTCATTTCTGTTCCTATTTTGCATTACCGGCCACTTTTTGGGATTTCCGTCCTCGTGCTACTCGTGTGTTCACCACGGTTCGTGCCCTTCTGATCCCACATCTCTCAGATTTATTCAGCGTGCCGGGAACACCCTTTTGTGGAAGATTTCATTGTATTTGGTAGAAAAGAAACCTCCCTAAAGCCGAGGGGTCTAGGAGCACTTGGGTGAGGCAGGAGTCCCGGCTGATGGGGCAGCACCGGTTTTGAACGTATGAAGAGGAGCCCAGTGCATCCTCCGTATGATTTCCTGTGGAATTCGTCTCAAGGCTGGGCCCAAGGAGCAGTGTGGAGCCCTGGTGAAAATCCGTTTCCTTTTGGCTGGAGGAAAATAACGTCCCATGTAGGGGATCGGTGTTTGGTTGGAATTCACCGGCCAGCTGTGCTGATCATGTGCCCGAGATCCTGGCCAATGGGGTGACACGTAAGGAACCAAAATCCGCCATGGGATGGGGCAGGGAAGACAGCAGGGCTAAGCAGATGGGAGCTGGGTGTGTTGGTTTCACCGCTTGTCAGTTTCTCTTGGCACCGATTTTCCATCCTGTCGGGTGAGAGCTGCAGATTTACCCTCCGGCCTCATGGAGGGGGCTGAGCTGAGCAGGGGCCTGGGATCCAGGCACAGGGACCCCCTAGGGAGACTGGTGAGACGTGAAGCTGTGGGTCTCCCCTTCGGGGTGGGGAGCTGGGTCCCTGCCTGGCCCACGGAGACAACGGGGAATTTCTGTGACTCCTGCTTCCCTGCAGGTGAGATCGTCGGGGGGCATGAAGCCAAGCCCCACTCCAGGCCCTACATGGCCTTTCTGGAAATACAACGCGGAGACACGATTTTTCACTGCGGCGGGTTCCTGGTGGCGGAGAACTTTGCGCTGACGGCCGCTCACTGCCAGGGAGAGTAAGTGCCTCTGGGCTGGGACGTGGGGCAGGTCAGATCAGCAGGGGAAGGGGAAACTGGGATCTCTGGGGCCGGTGTGGGGGGCAGAGGAGGGGAGCAGAGCCAAGAGGTCTGATATGCTCAGGGGTCATTGGCAAGTCTCTAGCAGCCCCTGCAACCCACGGCCCAGCCCCAGCACTGGGTAAATCAATGGGGCTGTGGCCAGTTGGGGTCTGGCCCCATGCCCAGCATGGGGCAGAGAGGGGGTTCCAGCATGAAGGCAGCTCTGCAGGGAACTGGGATGGGGGGCTGAGCATTGTCCCCTGCCTGGATCTATCAGGGAGCTGGCCACAGGGGAAGCTGAGGCCCAAGCCCAAAGGGGAGGGACAGACGGAATCTGAGACCCGGCCCAAGAGCTCGGGGCTGCCCCGTCCCTGCGAGATCAGTGTCCACCCCCTTCCCCTAACGCCCCACGTGCTTTTACAGCAGCGTCACTGTGGTTCTGGGAGCCCACAACCTCAGCCAACGGGAACGGAGCCTGCAAGTGATCCGAGCGCGACGGCAAATCCCCCACCCGCAGTACGACAGGGAGACGAGGAACAACGACATCATGCTGCTGCAGGTACCACCCCATCCCACTGCCCCGCCCCCAGTGACCTCACACTGCTGCAGGTACCGCCCCATCCCATTGCCCCGCCCCCAGTGACCTCACACTGCTGCAGGTACCGCCCCATCCCATTGCCCCGCCCCCAGTGACCTCACACTGCTGCAGGTACCACC